TGGGTGGGTGGGTGGGCGGGTGGGCGGGTGGGCGGGTGGGCGGGTGGGTGGGTGGGTGGGTGGGGTGGGCGGGTGGGCGGGTGGGTGTGGGTGGGCGGGCGGGTGGGTGGGTGGGTGGGTGGGTGGGTGGCTAGCTAGCTAGCTAGCTAGGTAGGCAGGTAGCTATAGGTAGGTAGGTAGGTCGATACATAGACCGATCGTGGCTCGGGACAGAGAGAGTGACTAGTTTGCGGGGCACTTCGTCCAAGACTCGAAAATATCTGGCAACAAGCCGGGTGCAGGTTATAGCATTGCGACTACATCGCACAATTCCCTTGTGTTGTTTTTGCCTTGCTTGGCTTGCAAGCTCCGGGTAAATCGGTACTGCGCATCTCGCAGTTCGAAAATGTTGATCCTGGCAGTCGGCCGTTTTCAGCGCTCGGACCGTGAAATAGTGTGATCTGGCACCGGTAAGTGTTGACGCTGGCTACCAGTCATAGTGTTGGCTGGTCAGTTTACATGAACTTGCGCTTAACTTCACCACCTGAGGCGGCCTCAATCTTTTTGCCGACGATCGACAGGTGGGAGACTCCGTGTTGGCCGAGGTGGCCGTGGACTATCTCGATGACTTAGGCCGGGCAGGGCGGGGAGGTATGCCGAACTTGGACTCACCTTTGGCTCGGCTGCTCCGGACACTGCCAGCTGGAACATCCTGAGACCCTTAGCTTTCGGCTTGCGTTCAGAAGTTTGGCAAGTTGGCAGATCGAAAGGGCTTCACACATTCTTCGTCGCTTCATGCATTGCAGGGCCGCTGAGCGTTTCTTGAAGCGCACCTGTCCTTCCCTCTGCCTTTGAGAACAACTTTGCTAGGTCATTGGTTTCTTTTTGCCCCGCTTCGAGCCCTTGAGCTCCAGCGCCAGATTCACATCATCCGGAAGAGCGGGTCGAGGTCTACAAGGGCACCATCCTGGGGTTTGTGCGCAGCCTGGAATACTCTTGGGCGACCCTACTACGAGGTTCCGACCAATCGGGGGCGAACAGAAATGGTGCGTGTTTGTGGGTGATATCAGGTTAAGAGTCGCTCAGGTCGAAGAGCTGGCAACTGTAGGAGGCCAGCCAGTTGAACTCGAGAAAGACCTACATCATCTTCTTCGCATGAAGATGGAGGCCAAGAGAAAAAAAACATGATCATGACGGTCGTGGTCCGTGATGACAGATGCTGACGAGGATTCTGATTCAGACTCTGATGACAACAATGCTGATAAAGGAAGATAATATGGCTGCTGGTTTCGATGAGCGTTGGGTACGCGATGAGCGCGGGTTCAGTTTTAACTTGTGCCTAAGCAATTCACGAATAGGAAGATGTGTTCATAGAATTGACCTGGATGTTTTTTGCCTGTGACGCCGTGGAACGTGATGACAGAAACAAGCTGACGCCCAGAAGCCCAAGACTTCAACCGGCATTGGCAACATGAACATGCCTGTCCAGGTTAGAGACTCTAGAATGCAAGCCTTGTGACCCTGGAATGTAGCTTCTGTATCAAGCGGAATGAAAGAACCGTAGCTCCAAGAAGCCCGCTTAGGTGGGAGGCATGGTCCGTGTCATGCTGGACACCGGCGAGGCCTGGATTTTGGCTCCACGACAGTCGCACTCGGGAGGCAAACAGGTACGCACAGTCTTTAGTGTGTGGGTCTGCTGCGTGAAGATCAGAGACAAAGCTGGTACCAGCATTACAACAGGTAGAATGCCTTCTTGCTTGGTTGCATACAGCTAGAGTAGAGGGCAGTTAGAGGAACGTACCAAGAAAGTTGTTGACCTCGTCGGAATCAGAATCCAGCCACGGGGATAATAGTGGCGGAATCCATTTGAGTTCGTCTTGCGTGGTTCCCCTAGCTGCCGAAGATTTAGTTATGAATGCCACCGCAACAACATCAAGCCCCTGAAGCACGACGAACCGTTTTCTGCAACTGTGCTGCCCGTAGGTGGCAGCGATGCGGTTTGTTCATGATTTTGGGGTGGTGGAGGTTAGGAAGGCAGAGTGCAGAAGACGGGCAGAGCCAAAGAAACTCGGGACGAAGAACGAAGGAACAAAACGGACATGAAATGATGCGAAGGGGCTTTCCCTAAGGCGACATAAGGCGACTCCCTTTCACATACGCCCGAAGAGGAAACGGTGCGGCAGTGGGGCATGTCACCTGGGGAATTCTGTTTCCCAAAACGCGATGTTGGCTGGACCTCCTGAAATCCTGCAAATCAAACCCACTGAACCTGAATAAGTGGATGGTTTCCACGACCTAAGCCTTAACAGGACTGGTCGGTGACCACGACGACGACTCCTACTATTACATAACTACGACTATTTACAACGACGACGACGATGCTGCAATTAGCGACGACTGTTACTACAGGATCTCAACAACGGTCAGACAAATGCCGAAACAGCTTGTTCAGTCCGAGTCGGACTCAACCGATGCCGCTCAACACCTCTGACTATGAGTGCTGCGTGCACGGACCCATACTGTAGTTGCACGGCCCCATCCTGTCGTCGAACCTGGAAAGCCACATGCGCCTTCTCAACAGCCTGTTCCAAACCCCGCTTCCTTTGCTTCCTTTCGGTTATACCTGCTTCAGCCAGAGATGCGCCGTTTTGCCGCAAATTGAACACCTAACCGTTCGTGCCCAGAGGAGCAAATCCTCAAGCGATCTTCCGTGCAAGCCGTGAAGGCTGGGCACTGCGAGACCTGCGTTGTTGATCCCAGGGCTTGGGTTGAGTCGGGATTGTGGCGTGGGTGTCGATTCCGGGCGTTGAAGCAGCTCGATTGGACGACTTTGCCGAGATGTGTGCTCCGAGGCCATCTGTCACCATTACATCGCAAAGCATACATGCTTTCCTTGAGAATCGGTGCAGGACGTCAACAAGCGGACTTGGCAGGGTTGACGTCAGCTAAGCAGTGGGCTGCAGAGTCCCCCGACGTTAGGCTGGGCTCGAAACTGCGAGGACCGCCTCCAGCTGTTACAGTCGCCGACCCCCACGCGGTGAAGTAGGCATCACACCTCAATCGAGCGGAGATATGGCCGGTCACTTCTTGAGCACAAGCTGTTGGAATTGCAACAACATTCATTCGAGAAAATGAAAACCCACAGCAGTCTTATATCTTCACAACTTAATGAAGCTCCAAAGATTGACTGTTCGAGGATGGAGGCCTTTTCACCTTGTGGGTCGCTGTTGGAGATGCCATGGCCGTGTACCGATGTGAGGCACCGCTGCAATCTCTCGTTGAGGTCGTGTGGAGTGCAGTTGAGTCACCAGACAAGGAACCCTAAGCTTCGCAGGCCACCTTTTGGTTTTAGTTCTGGGAAAAGGTCTTCGAAGCCCGCTGCCAGCAGGAGACGCATCCAAAATCTCAGCCCTTCCGACTTCAACTCTTTCGCCTACTTGAATCCACGCGCATGTTCTTCGTAGCGTGTTCATCGCCGCCCGAAAGCCATTTTGTCTCGGTGGTGTGTGAAGCTATCCTCAGTGCTTTCGTGTGTGTGCGTGTGTGCGCGTGTGTGCGTCCGTACATTTTTCCCCTATGGTCCTTTGTGCTGTGGTTCTTGCTTTCCTTCTGGAACTAGATAAACTTCAAGCTTCAGGCCATTGGCACGAGCTCCATACAGGAGCTTCCAATGTGAACTGCACGGCCCGAAGTGTCCCGAAACCTAGAAGCGACGGCCTGGCAAACAGGACTTTGCAATGCCCCCTACGGACTTGATGGAATTTGGAACTGCAGGTTCTGGTGAAGCGACAAGTCATCTTGGCCCTGGAGTCCGGCCCCAGGTGAGATGGCAACTGCGGGCGGAACTCTGGTCCAACAACTGCATTCCAAGAAGGATTCCTGTGCTCAGCTTTTAGCTAGTAGTCAGGTGAAATCCGAACTGCGAATAGCTTTGCGGACACCGCGAGGGGCTTGCTCGTATGATTTCCCTCGTGAGGTGGACTCCCCTTTCAAGTTTTTGTTGCAAGCTTTCGGTGAAGTTGCACACCTTGTGCGCTGATTCCCGCAGTCCTACTAGATCCATTTCTAAGTGGCGCGAGGTTTCTGGCGATGAAGAAAGACCCAGTCGCATGTCTAATCGGTATCAGAAGTTCGGTGACTGAAGTTGATCGATTCCAGAACGGAACTTCGCAATTGCAGAGCTAATCTGTTGGCTCCGAGGCAGGATGTCATCTTTGACTCCACAAGGCAGGTGCGGCCAGTCGACCTCTACAAGGTGCTTACAGGGCTTTGTTTTTACAGGAGCTCTGGGTGTCTCCATACGAAAACACAATTGAGTTGCGGTTTGGATGCGGGCTTGAGGTTCTCGATCCACACGAGTTGACTCGCACCCGAATGTATTGAATGTATTCCGCTTTCCGGGTAGACTGCATTCTCACTTCGAACTTAACATGACCCATCGGAGCTCAGCTATTGCACATGTCACGTTGGTCTTCCTGCTGACGAGCACGGCAAATGCAACATGTTTGTCGTCAGATGGATCTCACTTACCCACCTCCCTGTCCACCCATGCCTAGCGCAGCCCGAAAGATCCCAAACGCGTCGAAACAAGATAGCTAACTATAGCGTCAGCTCAAACCCAAGTCCTCAGTACATTGACCCTCAGATCGTCCTTGTCAGTTTGTCAATGCAGGGCCTGCATGTGACCTCGCCGCACCGGGGTGCCGGCGTCCGGGCACCCAGAGTGGCCAGCATCGGAGGTTCGGTACATGGCAGGTGACAGGCAGGAGGTTGACAACAACAGCTTCAGAGGGCATGGGCAGAAGTTTCCACTCCGCTCCCTGGCCCGAAGAACCAGTCGTGAAACAAGAATGACAGGACAGGACTCATATTACAAATGGTAGAGGTGCCGATCAGCGCAGCATTCTGAGCTGTATGATATGCTAGAAAGCATGCTACGTGCGTTGACAACTCGATACTGGCGATGTCAACAAGGAGATCAGTGGTTTGAGCAGTCTTGCAGCCTTCCCAGCTAGCAGTGCACAAAACAAGCGGAATTTGGAACCGGAGCATGGCCTTCCCTGTAGGTGAGCCCTACACAAAAGCACGGACCTGTATTCTCGGTTCTTGATTCCGTCTCTGTTTGATATGAAGTTGTTGTGAGAGTCACCATTAGCAGATGGCATGATTGCTGTTCGTCTCGCAGGGCCTATTCCTAGCACAGAGATTCGTCTTGACTCCACCTTGAGGTGGTCGCGAATGTCGCACCTGAAATCGGCCTTTGCTCCGTGCGCTGGGAGGAGAACGGCATCACCGAGGCCCTGGGCCTTTGATTGGGTTGAAGAGTCAAAAATGAGAGTCTGCGCTTGGTTGGGGTTGGGGGAAGCGCGTGTGTGTGTGTGTGTGTGTGTGTGTGTGTGTTGGTTGGTTGGTGTTGGTTGAGCTGCACCTTAAAGGCAGCTTGCAGCCGAAGTCGACGTCAGCCTTGTTCGGCCGATAGAAGCTGGGTTCCTGATTAGAACGACTGCTAGTGTAGGGTCAGGTTGGGTGAATGCGTTGAGCAATGCCGTCGGCTCCGACTTTTTTTCTAGATCACGCGAGGAGCCTGGGCCTAGGCGAGCGAGTGTACACAAGTTTTAAGCTTTAAGTTTGAGCAACGCGATGCAATAATTAATTGGCACTACTGCCCATCCAGGTTTGCTGTAAAGTTCCACCGGACATTAGCAGAACATAACGGAATCTATGGCTGCAGTCTCTGTGGGCAGCCAAGTAGGACCTTTCTGGTCTAGCGTGGCAGCGTGCAAGATGTCAGGTGTGTGTAGTGTAGTAGTCTCTACTGCAGTAGTTGTTGTGCAACTGTGTGGCTTCCAAGCGAGACTGCAGCCAAGCTCCAATCATGCATCTTCTCGTCTCACGTCTCATCTTGATGTGCGACATCGCCTCTGCATGCGCCTGTATTTAATCAACGGTGTTTGGACAGACCCCTGCTTCACCTGCTTGGGTGTTGCCATCACTGTGAGCATGGAGATCGCCCACCCAAGTGCCCTCCAAACAGCCATGACTTAGCAGTGCCAGGTCGTTCCCAGCAGAGATTTGTTGATGACGGGCAGCGATGCTACAAAGGCCAAAGTGATTCAGACACTGTGAGCAGCACTGGTGTTTTGTCGCGCACAGGAAATTCCACTAATGGTGTCTACCGCAAGTGCACACCAGAACAACTGGATATTGAAACTGTTGGCTTTAAAACTGAGAGCCCCCTGAACATTAAGACCCTCTGCAGGTCCTTCGGGACGCCCCGCGAAATCTACATCATTCTTGCCTGGTGCAGCTCCTCGACGTTTTTGAGTGACAGAGCTCACAAACACACAGCTATACATACGCACATACACACATGCATGCATACATGCAAAGGAAGCAGATTTCTATTGCAGATGGCAGCTCCGATCCGTGGAACTCGTAGCCGTTACTCAGTATCTGCAGTTTTGCTTAATCAGTGTATACGTACATGTGTACACATCGATGCTTTATGTAACAGACTGTATTGTCGTGGCGTTTACTGAGGATGATGGTGGTGACGACAGCCCCAACTGAATTGCCGTTGAGCGTTGCCATGGTACATTTGGACTTTTATATACTGCGTCGCAGGCATGCACGCTGAACTGACCTTTTCGACCCAAACACAAACACAAACACACACACACACACATCGACTTTCTAGTTTAGCCATGTGTCGCGAACCCGGAAGTCCCTTGCTTGGTATCCTGTGCAAATACTCTGCAGCTCACCCCACGACTAAATGAATCATCGTGTCTCGGATACCGCGGGCGGGCTGAGAGAGCCAATTGAGAAGTCTGTGGCAAAGCGAGGATGAGTGCTTCTCGAGCGTGCGCAATTCTGTGAGCCCCAGGATGGAGATGTCGGAGACAGACTTTCAGCAACAGCAAAGCGAGGCTTCCAGCGTTGTGCTAGTGTTGGTGAGTTCGTGCTCTTACTTTTCCCACCGCTCCAGTTTAGTTAGAAGCAATGGCCCAAGAGATTCTGCCCAGTTCAGGGTACATTTGAGAGCCCGGTACCCCTAAAATGGCCCTCAGACGCCACTGTTCAATCACAGACTGTGCCGAAGTAAAGCTACACAAATCGACAGCCATGTTCAATGTCAATCGTCGCTTGGATTTGGAAGATTGCCAGCGGGCCACAGGCTGATCGCAGACGAAGCCAATATCACTAGAAATGCAAGGTCCTTGGTTGGAAAGACGTAGAAATAGCCTTTAGAATTTTGGGTTGCTAATTGGCCAGACTCCTGACCTGCGTGGGAGATGCTATGCAAACTCTCTGCTTCAAGTGAGTGAGGTAGCCATGCGTGTGTCCATGGTCAACTGTGGACCTCCCCCCGCATCCCTGTGAGGCCCATGACATTTGTCAAGGTAAGTCGGGCTCAACATGCACGGGCCACATTGCTGCGTGAGTCCAAACAGACATTGGGCCTATGTCGACTGCGGCAACGGACTATTCACATGATATAGTCGCCAAGTTGTTCCCTCA